GTGCAGCACATTAGACCACTATCTTCTCCTACAGGGGAACACACTGCCATACTATAGAGCAGCACATTAGACCACTACCTTCTCCTACACAGGAATACACTACAGTACTAGAATGCAGCATATCAGACCACTATCTTCTCCTACAGGGGAACACACTGCCATACTATAGAGCAGCACATTAGACCACTACCTTCTCCTACACAGGAATACACTACAGTACTAGAATGCAGCATATCAGACCACTATCTTCTCCTACAGGGGAACACACTGCCATACCATAGAGCAGCACATTAGACCACTACCTTCTCCTACACAGGAACACACTACAGTACTAGAATGCAGCATATCAGACCACTATCTTCTCCTACAGGGGAACACACTGCAGTACTATAGTGCAGCACATTAGACCACTACCTTCTCCTACAGGGGAACACATTACAGTACTATAGTGTAGCACATTAGACCACTACCTTCTACACAGGAACACACTGCAGTGCTATAGTGCAGCACATTAGACCACTATCTTCTCCTACAGGGGAACACACTACAGTACTATAGTGTAGCATATCAGACCACTACCTTCTCTTACAGGGGAACATATTACAGTACTATAGTGTAGCACATCAGACCACTACCTTGTCCTACACAGGAACACACTTCAGTACTATAGTGCAGCACATTAGACCACTACCTTCTCCTACAGGGGAACACATTACAGTACTATAGTGCAGCACATTAGACCACTACCTTCTCCTACACAGGAACACACTACATATAGTGTAGCACATTAGACCACTACCTTCTCCTACACAGGAACACACTACAGTACTATAGTGCAGCACATCAGACCACTACCTGCAAATGGGGTAGTCAGAAATGATATCTGGCAGATTCCACAACAAAATAATCAATATCCCCTTTGCTCATCAGAGATTAGAACATATAAAGCATATGATGTTAATACACCAACATATGTTACATCTGTCACATGGCATATCTATCCTGTATCCATAGTCTCTCACCAGCTGTGACGCTGTTCTGACTTGCCTGAGGACGAAATATTCGTTTAGAATTTACAAATTAAACTGAGACAATGGATCCACATTGTTCTTGTGATCAATTCAACAATGCCCAAAATAGTACATCAATTTTATCTGACGCAGGCATGGTGTACATACAAAGATGAGACAATGAATACTTACTTTTTTGTACATTGTGTGAATGGTGGATGCTACCTATAGGACATGACATGTGTACTCTTGTTTTGTGAACACCTGGTGTCATCACTGATCTTCAGTGGTCCATACATATAATTTTCACAGCTATTTTGCACTTTATGCCAAATGGAATCTGTTTCGGTGGATAATCAAGACTGGTTATTCTCTTACATTGACATTATTTATTCAATATGGACTGTAGATTCAAGTGACTCAAAAAATTATATTCAACAAATGGTCATTTTGTTGTATCATAAGCATTATTTTGCAACATTTAAGGGATGTGGACTCACTAACATCATCAAATTTGTGGAATGAGTGAGTTAGGGTTTAATGCAACATTGTGAACACAACATTTCAGTCAGTGATGAAGTGTTGGAGCCTGGAAGCATCAGTACAGACACCTCACCGATCATAATCAGGGTACATCGGGTATTTGAAACCAACCAATAGAAGATCATGGTATGGCGTAGGGTTTCTAGTATTCAAAGTGAGATGTGATGCCTCAGACCCCTGAGGTATGCATTCTCTGACAACGAAAAAGGAAAGACAAGGTTTACACTTCATGGTTGCTGCATGAATGATCATTTTTGCAACTATATAACAAAAGGTCGAAAACATCTGGAACATATTTCAGTAAAAAGTGGAACTTACACCAGAAACATCAGTTCCAACCTAATCATGATGTTTGATTAATCAAAATAATTAAATCTCATTCACAAAAACAGTGCAATCATAACGCTTGATTGGGTCAAGACAATAGCATCATTGTGGATCATTGTCACATCTGTATGCTTGTACATACTTGAAGAACTGCCCTTAATGATGATTCTCTTCCTGCTCTCAAACACAAAAAGGTCACTTCAAGAACAAAAAAATTAAAACACTGACTAGCCCTTAAAGTGAGTGAGTGAGTATGTTTCTTAAATCCAATATTCCAGGAACATCACGGTGGGGGACACCAGAAATGGGCTTCACACATTGTAGCCATGTGGGGAATCAAACCTGGGCCTTAGGCTTGAAGAGTGAACGCTTTAAACACTTGGCTACCCCATCATCCCTAAACACAAAGTGTTAAAACTTAATGTTACTGGTTGTTTTGAAACTATAAAAAAAAGGGTTTGATAAAACTATATGTAAAGGGACCATTAATGGATTATTATTGTGGGCTATTATTCTTATTGTAAGATAATGTTCACATGGTTTTTTTAACAATTTACTTGCCCTTGCATGTGTTTGTGATGGGTGCCACCAGTCGGGCTGGATATGCTCACTTATTTGATAGTGATTCGTACACACAGGCTTATGATAAAGTCTGAATAGCAAAATGGAGTCTTCTTTTAGCATAGTGTTCTTATGATTATGGGGGCGGTTGGGTAGCCTAGTGGTTAAAGGGTTTGCTCTTCACGCCGAAGACCCGGGTTCGATTGCCGACATGGGTACAATGTGTGAAGCCCATTTCTGGTGTCCCCCGCCGTGATATTGCTGGAATATTCCTAAAAGCGGCGTAAAACCGTACTCACTCACTCACATGATTATGGCAAGGGTTTTGTTGTTATAAATTTTATATGTTTATATAAATGCTACAGCCATCGATGGTCCACATTCATATTCTCATCTTGCCTGAGGTTCATTCACATGGACATTCTTCCTGCGTTCACTGTTGGGTCAGATACAGACTGATGCAAAGATTTAACAAACAAAAAAAGGATATTTGAAAGAATGACAAATAGCAACATCACAACACAAGAGCATGTCAGTGCAATACCAATGATTAACAACAATAAATATGAATTTGAAACAAATGACAAATAATCAAATCAGCATCTCTTCATAATCACCTTCATAAACTCCATTAATACTGTGCCCTAATGCAGAGACTATAATAACTCTCAACCAAGCCTCCTCCTATGATTAATGGTGACTGTTTTAACATTAGAATCTCGAACCAAAAAGGTTGGAAATATATATACACAACCTTATCAAACAGAAACCTCTGATTTCCATCCAGACTTTCCACATCAACAAGTATCTAGATTATGAACATACAGTATTAGTAATTTGTTTCAAACCTTGTTCAGATGGTAAGGTTGAATGAACTCAAAAAAGCATTTTCCGCTGTTTGTGAATGGTGAATGGATGGGGATTTCAAATGATATGTTAGAATTTTCAAATGACATGATAGTATTCTACTTATATGCATCTTTTGTCATTAGATATTGATAAGTAATATCCCCAACTTTATTAATAAGTGCATATCATATAATTGTACATATATCGCACAACCCGTTAACATGTATATCAGTAGGTATGAGTCCACATAATCTTATAATGAGGAACAGATACTTCATTCCCTTAATTGCAGTCATTACTTGTGTATTGTAAAACGAAATTATTAATGTTGATTATTGTGAGATAAGAGACATATTTCCACACTAAATTGATCTTAATTGTGTAATGGTTTGTTGTTTTAATGATAAATGGTTTGTTGATCTAGTGTCTAGTAAAAGTGTGTTTTGATTGGAAATTAGGTACAGGTGTGAAATGTACATGATTGTGTACATTGCAATTAGGCTCTTAAAATGGGTATTATTTTTAAGCAAGGAGCATACAATAGGCAACAATCTGTTGACACTTTTAACTGTGGACACAGTTACTTATGTTGATAGCAATTGAAAATGATTACTGTCAAAACAACCCAATCTTGAACTAATGACAACTTCAAATGATTGAATAACCTTTTGTAGCAAGTCTCAAAACACATGAAAATCAGAACATTTGGAGCAGTTGTCAGCCATGTTTGAATAGCCTCTTGTCAAATTAAATGCCTGGGGGGTAAATGCGTGTTAATTTAGCTAGGTTCAAATAAACAGTTAAAATAAGTGCATAATGAGTAATGTTGTCACTCATTTCTATCAGACATATTGATGAGATTCACAACCAATTCATCTTATCTTTCATATCTAAATTGTTTTCAATATTTTAATTGATGAATTCCATGTGTTATAAACATGTTAATCAAAATGTGAGTCAAAGTTCAACTTAATATGAAAAACTATTTTATGAAACTCTGTTCACAAATTCTATAATATGGTGGAACAGAAACTTGATCAACCTGCATTCACGTGTATAGTATGTTGGTTTGTTATCAATAATACACAAAATAAACACGCAGTAGACACTGAGTATTTTCCACTGACAAACATGCACCTGTGCCACAATGTGCATTTCTGGATTATTCATCCCGAAGTAGGTCATTGGAATAGCCGCGAAAGCATCACCGTTGTCACACGAGCGATAGCTTATAATCATTGAAGTGAGGCATATCATTCTCAGAAATTACGTTTTACTAGCAACATCGTTCAGAATTACCATTCCGCTTTGCTAATACGATTCTACAGTGTCAAATGACATCATCGCTTGAAACCACTTGTATGTAGAACCACTTGTGGCTAAGAGGCGAACCTGAAGCTCGACTGAATACATCGTTCTATTATACACCCAATCGAGGAAAACAAGACGATAAAATAAACAAAAAGGTGATATAATATCTGACAAAGCTCCCATCGCAGATGAGATTAAAGATCTAAGGGGATCTGCGTATCACAGAACTGGTACCACATCGCCAAATGCCAAACCCACCTCTCTTGGATATACACAACGCACAAAATGAGAGAGGTGGGTGAATTGTACCACAGTGAGTCAATATTTCCATGTCCGGAAGGAAAAGGGGATGAATGATATAAATGATACAAATTCCGGTACACAACATTAATTTTTTACCTTGCATTCCGTTACACTGTGTGTTGCCAGTTCCACCCGTGCAAAGTTGCCTTTGCCCAGGGTCTGACCGTTCATAACATATCTTCCAATGCATTGAATTTTTTTCCCCATTGCTGTCTATACTATTCGTGAATGTCTCCTCTCCATCCTGAATATTGCCCGCTTGTCATCATCGCCGGCAGGATTTCATAATATCCCCGGGACTCCAGTACACATGATCATATAACAGAGTAATATCTCAATACTTCCCAGTGCACGCTACATTATGGCGGCTCGGATCCCTTCGAAGACTCGCCTGCTTGTACTGGACCGAGAGTTGATAGCGACAGGATCCGATCGTACTGCAGCAACAGTCTGTCAATCGCGGTATCATTCCATCAGACGCAGAGAACACAATTCACAGGAAGGTTGAAACACGGCAGAAAGCGACATCCATTTGGTGGGTCCATGTCATAACTCCGGTCGTTACTGTAGTAGGAAACCGTCAGTGCCAAGCGAATACAGTGCAAACCCACTACCCATTGGTCCGCTTACCTAAATGTATCCACATATCAAATATAATTGCAAACGCGAAACAATCCACCAACAATACGTATTTGCTGCAATTAACATCGGAGACCAGAAGCTCTGTTTATTTACTATACTTGTCCATTATTTTAATTCATACCGCACGTGCAAACATAAATTTCCACCAATGCCACCGTGCCAACGAACCTCCAGTCCCACCATCATTAACTGGTCACATGATGCCGATCTTTATGAAATATTTATTCGCACGCCCTCGGCCAGGTCACGTGATGTCCCGGCTGCCATGGCAACCTCGAATCAAAGACAAATCGATGCGTATGGCATCGATCTCCGTTGGGTTAGGCAGGCCCTGGCTCCAGCGCTGGCTGTGGCGAGATGGAGGACGACATAGGCTCAAAAAGCGAATATCTACGCATATGCAAATATATACTCAATTTACAAATTGTCGTAACAATACCGGGTCATCATACTCGAGCTGACGGTAAAGGAAATATACATCAATGGCCATGATGCCACTAACAATGTACTGAAGCGGGGCTGGGAACGGTCTATAGAGTTTTAATTGATGTGGTTACAGGATGGTGTTGCGTGTCTCAGTTTTCTTCTTGCACTCTCGGGGTCAGATTGGATTCAGAGGTCATCTGCATTGTTGGTAAACTAGATTTGCTTGAAATACGACAACCAGGGCTGTCCATGGCCATTCAAAGAAGCATGGTGCCAAAGGGTCTCAAAGACTTCTCGAGGAAAATCATTTTTTTCCTTATATAGCACATATTTTATCACTTGTAAGGAGCAATTAAAGTCTTTTTTCCAACCAAATCAACCGTGGCGCGGCTCATTGACCTACTTTCCGAGCTGAAACATCTGTCAACCGTTATAATGACCCTTATTAAATCTTACAATTCTATGTCGGTCATTGTTGAAACGTATATCAATATTTTACGATATTATTTATTCAATCAATATTTTACAGCATGGCCCCCTTTATACTACGGTGGTTCTGTCATAGATTACATAACAATGTAGCTGACTAAGGCCCCGTCTCTGGGAACAATTGCTCATTTCGATATAATTGCTTCATTAATCAGCGTGTCTTCATGAATGGCCCTATTGGACATTTGTACAGGCCCTTGATCACGTTCAAACCAACTGTGATTATTAAGGGATCCCGAGTAGAGACATTGTTGAAAATGAATGACGTGAATTGTACGTCGTTATGACGTTTACCATCGGTTTTGGTATTTCACGGAAGGAAACCAAGGAATGGTTCCTCTTGGGGGAGATAATAAAGGCATTGTTTTGTTGTACTTTTAGCGTACAGTGCATGAATTATCGACTTTGACAATATGAGATAATGTTCGTGCACGGAGTAATGTCAAGATGGCGTTACACTCGTAATGGTATTAATGGATCTCAATGAACCATGCTTGAATTTACTTGAATGAAATTTATTTCATGTATTTTCTTTTTAAAGATATGTGAATAGAGATCGATTTCAGCTGAACAACCATTGTCATTACAGGTCGGATTCGTTATGGTAATTCTGATCGTGATAATCTGTGCAGACAGAGTTTCTGGAATATCTGCCATTTGGACCTATATTTTTTCTTGGTCCAAAACGGTAGTGATCACTTTGTTGTAACGAGGCAGTAAATACTTTGGTCAAACCAGGCAGTCTATGATTTGGTGAACCCATGAAGTAAATACTTTATGAACCGAGGCAGTAAATACTTTATGAACCCAGGCAGTAAATACTTTGGTGAACCCAGGCAGTAAATACTTTATTGAACCAAAGCAGTAAATACTTTGGTGAACCAAGGCAGTAAATACTTTGGTGAACCCAGGCAGTAAATTCTTTATTGAACCCAGGCAGTAAATACTTTGGTGAACCAAGGCAGTAAATACTTTGGTGAACCAAGGAAGTAAATACTTTATTGAACCCAGGCAGTAAATACTTTGGTGAACCAAGGCAGTAAATACTTTGGTGAACCCAGGCAGTATATGATTTGGTGAACCCAGCGTAAATACATTATTGAACCCAGGCAGTAAATACTTTATTGAACCAGAGCAGTAAATTCTTTATTGAACCCAGGCTGTAAATACTTTGGTGAACACATGAAGTAAATACTTTGGTGAACCCAGGCAGTATATGATTTGGTGAACCCAGCGTAAATACATTATTGAACCCAGGCAGTAAATACTTTATTGAACCAGAGCAGTAAATACTTTATTGAACCCAGGCTGTAAATACTTTGGTGAACACATGAAGTAAATACTTTGGTGAACCCAGGCAGTATATGATTTGGTGAACCCAGCGTAAATACATTATTGAACCCAGGCAGTAAATACTTTATTGAACCAAAGCAGTAAATACTTTATTGAACCCAGGCTGTAAATACTTTGGTGAACACATGAAGTAAATACTTTGGTGAACCCAGGCAGTCTATGATTTGGTGAACCCAGCGTAAATACATTATTGAACCCAGGCAGTAAATACTTTATTGAACCAAAGCAGTAAATACTTTATAGAAACCAGACAGTAAATACTTTGGTGAACACATGAAGTAAATACTTTGGTGAGCCCAGGCAGTATATGATTTGGTGAACCCAGGCAGTAAATACATTATTGAACCCAGGCAGTAAATACTTTATTGAACCAAAGCAGTAAATACTTTATTGAACCCAGACAGTAAATACTTTGGTGAACCAAGGGAGGAAATACTTTGGTGAACCCAGGCAGTATATGATTTGGTGAACCCAGTGTAAATACATTATTGAACCCAGGCAGTAAATACTTTATTGAACCCAGGCAGTAAATACTTTATTGAACCAAAGCAGTAAATACTTCATTGAACCCAGGCAGTAAATACTTTGGTGAACCCAGGCAGTAAATACTTTGGTGAACCCAGGCAGTAAATACTTTATTGAACCAAAGCAGTAAATACTTTGGTCAAACCAGACAGTAAATACTTTGGTGAACCCATGAAATAAATACTTTGGTGAACCCAGGCAGTATATGATTTGGTGAACCTACACAGTGAATGCGTTGGCAAAACCAGGCCATAAATACTTTGATAAAACCAACGAGTTAATACTTTGGTGAACCCTTGAGGTAAAGACTTTGGTGAACCCAGGCAGTAAATACTTCAGTATGTATAGAAATGTCTGGTAAAAACACCGTTCCGATCAATCTATGCCAACTGTTTATAATATTATATTTAATATTGTGATACTGAAAAGCAGTATGAACTCGTAAAAGGCTGAGGCTTATGACCTTGAACTGATTACCAACGAACTAATGTGATGTCTTTCTTTTGGCCGGCTGCGATTTCAAACGACATTTACTGTTCATTGATATGATTTAAAAATCAATCTCCAAAAACATTCAAGTATCTGCTAAGTAAAGTCGCGTCGGCGGGTGTCGTATCTCAAACAGGCAAAGTATCGGCGGATAGTGTGGACAAATCGTAATACGTCTTCGGTGTAGGTGTACGATCTGACACAGAGGCAGCCTGACACAGACTCAGAGTCTCTACCTAAGATGGAACCACCCCAGACAGACAGGAGACCCCCTTTGTACTGCGGATCGATTTTTATTCATTTTACGATAAACACAATGTACTTCCAGGCCACGTGCAAAATGGTAAATAGCTTAGCCCCAGAGGTATTATAGCTCACCTGGCCCTAGTATGCAAATTCTGGGTATACAGATGTGTATTGAAATTATGGTTGTGTCTGTGTCAGGTGAGGTACAATAATGAAAAACATGGGAGAAAAATTAATTCTCCATAATGAATTGCACCAAGTCTGTAATATATTCCGTGAAACTTTAACCTTAAACCGTTAACCCCTAAACGGCCAAGTAATCCACAACATTCAGTCTTCGTCCTATGAAAGCAAAGAAGAGCTATGCAGGCATGGAAAATGGCAACAATGTTATGCACCTTGTCCTATCTTCCAATAGGCGGGCACGTTGGGGTAGCCTACTGGTTAAAGTGACCGCTCTACATGCCGAAAACCCGGGCTCGATTCCAAAATGTAATAACAGTGTGACAAGAAGACGAACTACATGTTTTATTGAATTGTCCTGTTTATGATGACTTTCGTTTCAATCTTCTGCAAAATGCCTGTTATGTTAATAGTTCATTCAAAAATTAAACAAAGTTAGAACAGCTATGTTTTTTAATGTCCAGTAAAAATCTTCCCAAAAATCTATCGAAAAAACCTGCTTTTATATTTTACAACGACGAATCTCATGCTTCCATTAGGAATGGCCTATGTATTTTAACCCAAAGGTGTGGTTTTAATGTGCGAATGATGTACAGCGGGGTGTGACTAAAATAAAATCTGTCTGTCTGTCTGTCTGGGTACAATGGGTGAAGCTGGTGCTGGTGTTCCTCGCCGTAATATTGCCTGAATAGTGCTAAAAGCTGCGTAAAACCATACTCACTCACTCATTCACTCAAACAGGCATTGCCTCTGTGACCAGTCAGGTTTGAAGACTATACAGTGTTGTTTAAACCGTATGTTTTACGTCTCGTGCCCCAACATGAAGTCAGAAAGCCCATTTATTTACATAGTTTGGATGTCGCTCTGTTGCCCATAACCCAAGCAGGAAATTTTATTTGGAATAACCCTGTGACATCATTACGAATAAAAACCTTCTTTTATAAGCATCACATGAAACATATCACGTATTTACTTCCCTGAATATTAGTTTCCCGGGGAATTGTCAAACAACAAAAGTTTACTTCCAGACAAGAGTTTATTTCCTTCAGTTCAGCGTGATCTACCATTTATTAACTTGTTATCCTACCTTACAGGAAGAATTTCAGATAAGAGTTACGGAAAGTGGTCTGTCGTTAAAATGCCAGTTTTCTGAATCGTCACCATCATCAACTGCAGCCCTGGCCTTATGAAAACAATTTCAAGTGTGATCTACGCCCTTACCAGCACACCAATAACACACATCATCGTTTTGAAAATTATAATTTATCTATATTCCTCCGATGCTAATACTTCTACTAACGAGATAAGCATAATTTGCTTCCATTTTCATATCAAGATCATTACAGTGACCAATTTCAAAATGATATTAATGATGATTATTATGATACAAATCATGATTGTTGTTTTTAACGCCGCAGTCATGTAGATAAATCGATATGTAAATAATCGAGTATGG